ACTACTGTATCTCCTTCCTCCAGTTTATGCTGGAAGGTAGAGTTCTACTCCCAGCATAGCAACTGCTAGAGGCCAGTCCCCAGAGGGTAGCCATGCCCTGGGGTCTAATTAATACAACACGCTGTGCATCCATATGGTACTGTGTGATTAAACAGAGAAGGAGCGAGAAAGGCGGGCCTGGATGGGGTGGGGGTGCAGGTGGGGCCTATTCTTGTATCCATGTTTCCTTCATTGATAGGTGAGAATCGCTAGATTAGCTATTCCCTCTGCTTGAAACAACTGTACCCTGTTTAGGAAACTGAAAGAGGAAGCCGACCTTGAAACAAGGCATCGTGATTAGACCCTGAACAACCAACACATAAAATATTTAAGTCAAACAAAGAGACAATGAATACCATCTTTTTCATGTTATTTGATATGAAGCAAAGCTACCTCTAGGCCAGAGTACAAGTGTTGGAACAAAGCCCTGCTTGCAGTCCACCATTCCCGAGTGGGTTTCTTCCTGGGTATGGATTAGAGAGAGGGACAGGCCCAGGGCAATAGGCAGCATGATTAAGTGTAGACCAGAAAAAGAAGCAGAAGCAGGGAAGAAGAGAAAACTGTAGTGCTAAAGGCTAATATGTGTACAGTATTGACCAGAAATCTAAGCCCTTTCTCATCAGCCTCCCCCTTTTCTTTCAGCTCTTATATTTGTTCTCCCAAATTAAAGCAAAATATAAAGTATTTTCTTACTTAGTTCTGTTGGTAACTTGCCATTTGTCAAGGATATGTTTTGGTTTGGATTCAACTTTACTATCACTGCACACAGTTCAACATACGACTGTTTAGCATCTAAACCAGGGATTTCAACTAACTGTAGGCCAGGGACCAGCACAATGACGACAAAGCGACCTGAGCAGGGACCACCTGCAGTGTCTTCAAGGACCACTAGTTGAAAGCCCTTGATCTAGAGAGATAGTGAAAACAGTAACAAAGTATAGAGATGAATAATATTTACCATCTTCATCATACTAACATTTTCTAATTAGCACAAATTGAGCATGTGCGAGAGTGTCTTTTACAGTGTGTAAAAACTTATGGCCCTGTGGAGGCTTTGGGGCAACATTTTAAACTAATATTCAGGTCATATGTTTTGTAATGAAGAAACATGTCACCCAGTGCAGCATTGGGTTTCACTGATGGGTTAATAATTGTTTTTAAACAGCATTCATCTCAGCTAAATATCACAAAACCATGGAGGAATCTGCATTTTCAAATACCACTAGAGGTGAGAAAATCTATTTTTTGTAATTTGAACTTTGAGGCAGCATAAGCCATCTTTCCCTCCATGTTTGGATTTACTTCCTCGATTTTCTCTCCTGCTGCAGAGGCATGCACCTTGCATCTCCTTGCTTCTTTTGTCCCACCTCCCCTCCTTTCTTTGTCCTGCTCCACAAATCACTGCTGTCGTCCCCCCCCCTGCCACTCCCCCTCCCCCACCCTCTACCATTCTCCCCCTTTTCTTTTTTGAGGGCATGCTGTACATGTTAACTGTTGAGTAGTCACTCAAGCCAAGTCACTGAGTGTGTGCATGCATGTGTGTTTGAGTGATAAATGAAACTAGAGGGTCGGGATGGCAGTGTCACAGATGATGACTCCATATCTCTAGATGTGAGCCCTCCGCTCACTGTCACTGAATGAGCCACCCAGTTTCTCTCTTATATACATATAAATGTGTTATAAAGGCAGTGATTTAGTCCACATGGTCGACTCTTACACAACAATTCCCCCGGCACCCATTGCAATCACATCAGCCCTCTTTTTCACAGAAACAGTCAGTCCATTAATGCTTTTAGTGCCATGCCTCCTGTGGCCTCAGCATGTTAATGCCCACATTCTCCATCAGTCACCCTCCACCACATGACACTCCACCCTGAACTGGAGACACAGCCAAAGGGAAAAGGAGAAGCAGCAGAAATCCTTGTCTTTTTCAACCTTCACACAAACACACCCACATGAGCTAAGTCACAGTACTGTATATGTATGCATATTAGACAACAGGCGAGTCAATCATAGATTTACATACAAAACATTACATGAAATATCAACAGTTTTATTATGGCAATTTTATTCAAAGCACTTAAAAGCTTAGCTCTCATTTGCACAGGTAGTGGCAAACTACCATGGAAGATGCTGTTCTAACCCGTAGAAGCAACTGTTGTTAGGATCTATGGATGCCTGCTCCACCTGTTGTGACTCTCCAGGTTATTGCTACAGATCCAGTTTTTTAACAATACATAATGTAGTTACATTTAGTCCCAACATCATCAAATACCATATCACTGCTGATATGTATTAAAATAATGCTAACAAAATTCTAAAATGGGACATTCTGCATGATAAATACTTTACTTTAAAATAGGTGTGGATACTTGAACCAAGTCCAATGGGACCCATCAGTACATGAGGGTCTCAGCCAGGTTTGGACAGAAATATAGAAATTATGTTTGGGTCTGGGTTGGGTTTATACATGTAGGACAAACTTTAGGCTAGATGGTTGAAGCACTCAAATGTCTGCTTCATATAATGATAAGAAGTAAGACACTGTGCAAACTCAACTGTGTCAGGCTCGGGTTCAGTTATATTATGAACTCGTCAAGTCTGGGTCAGGTTCGGACAGAAATATGTGGCCCGATCCATGCTGCAAGAATCAATTGGCTGTGTAATGTGAAAAGTGCTGCATGGATGAACCTGAGTTTGATCATGATTTCACATTTTTTATATTTTGGTATACATTTATATTTTCATAAGTGAATATATCAATGCATTTCAAAGCTTGGAATCCCCTCTTTGAAGCTACTGCTGTCAGTGAAGTTACCTGACAGGTAAATAGAAGTGATTTACATACTATGAACCTACCCAGAAGCTATCTTCCTCCAGAAGCTGGGTTACAGTCTGGGATAACATTAACCCTAACCTGAACAGATTTACATCCCCACAGCATTAGTATGTCCCTCTCCCCCAACATACACACACGCAACCACACAGAATAGCATTTAAAAAAAGAAACAGGAGCTAGGAGATGACAAGGTGGTTTTCATTATTTGTGACGTGAGAGGAGGGATGTCAGCTGCAACGTGTGTTATGGCTGGGACATCTGGAAACAGAAGAAGAATAGAGAAGATCACAGGTAGGCAAGTATGAGAGTTGGCTGGTGTGACTCCTGGCCTCCCTCTGTCTCGCTCCCTTTGAGCCACTAAAAGGGGTGCAGTGTGAGAGGCCAGGAGACAGCTGCACCCCCCTTCTCCAGAGGTCTCTGTTCTCAACTCACTTTAAGTGCTGTGGGGTTAGGAGGAGCAGGGCCCAGCTGAGGTAGAGTTTCGCTGCTTTACATTGCCACACTGTTGTGTGTGTCCATGAAAGGGAGAAAAAGGGGGAGCTGCTTGTGGAAAACTACACTGCTGCTGTGTCTCTATTAAAACCACAAATATAAAAGAAACACAGTGTAATGATCACAAACACCCCCCTTCTACCACTGCAATCTTCCACACAACTCATACAAATGCACATTCCAGCTACACTGCTTTAGAGGAACAACAAACTTTAACTTGCAGTCTGTCATGAATACGTAGTATAGCAAATACAGTTTACATGTTCTCTTTCTTTTTTAAAATGAAACCGCTTTTGCTTTCACATCTAAACAAACAAACAAACAAAAAAACAGTCACAAACACAAATCTGCAACATTTTGGCTGCCAGCAGCAGGACATTACACCTTTTAACAATAATAGGGTCCTGCACATAAAATGACAGAGGCCAGCACAAAAAATGTGGAGGCAAAGGAATTTAGAGAATTTTTGTAACTTTGGTCATAGTTTCTACCGATTAAGATCACATTGCACTCGACAAGTTGCTGTAACAAAGATCTGTGAATTTTGCCACATCTACAAAACTGTCTTGCAAAAAACAAGCATTCTTTCAGTCAGATAAGCTGTAAAGAGGCAAGTAGTTAAGACAGATTATGTAAACCACTTAATCAGGACGTAAAACTGAAAGTGAGTGCAGCAGAAATGTTGGGAAATAAGACCTCACTGCGCAGGAAAAGATGCAACACTACAGAGTCCTGTAAGTATAATAGGTCAACTAGGCTAAACTGTGTCAAATGATGTATAATTGGGCAATAATTTCCCCAAGATTGAGAATAAAATTTTAATCTCAATTCTAAAGCCAACATGGATGAGAAGTACTTTAAAAGCTCATAAAATGGAAATTTCAGCATTTTAAATTTAGTGACAACTGGGCAAACTGGGGAATACTGTGTTAGAATGCAAAGCTCCAAAACAGCTACTCATTAGACCTTGTATTGAGATTGTTTGTTTAATAATTTGACCATTTTCCCTAATTTTCTCTTTCAGGTAAATTTGTCTGGCCTGGAGGTTTGTTCAAGACTGCTTGTGATTCTTGCTCTGTTGGACTTCTTCATAGTGATGTTGCTGAATTTCCCAGTTGTTAGCAGTGAGATGAGTCCAGTGTCAACATTACCAAAGTCAAATTAACCCCAAAAAGGGAGGTTAAAGCAGGAAGAAATACAGCGAAAGAGGGGGTTAATCCATGTTGGACTCTCCCTTTGTTTTCCAGCCCCATCACGGATTGGGCTCCGCAGTGATTACAGGCCCAGCATAAACCTTCATTGACCAGGAGCTCGGGGACTTGTGTTCAATACTCTTTGTCTGGCCAGCAAGGCCACAGGTTAATGGGCTGAACACTAGGACAGGGCAGTAAAGTGTGGAAGGAGAGGAGAAGCCTGCATCACATTGATCTGCTGCATTGCAGGAAGCAAGCACACAAATGCACATCTGTGTGCTGCAGATTATGCTTCTTATCTACCAAGCTCAGGTTTCAGGTACATCTCCGACACATACATACACACACACACACACACACAAAATAAAGACATTTTACAGATTTAGAATTACTAGAGCTAGTTTATTATCACTGTTATTTTTTTCTCCAATCAGTGTTGCACAATGAACCCTAAAACAATACAAACCACTAAAAATAGTCTAGTTTGCCTTCTTACACAAATGCATACATACATATATACAGTACACACAGTATATGTGAATATGTATACAGAATTGTAACCGCACCTTGAGAGAGTGTACAAACTTTGTGGAGACATACAGTAGTGATCCCTGACAATGCTCTGACAAAGCTTTTTAAATCATCTCTTACTGACCTGAATTTAACTGTGGCACAGACAGTAAAAGCAGGCAGTGACCGCTAAAGGAAGACATTAAACAGGACAGGTAAGCAGAAAAACAGACAGACAGATGTGTGATCATGGGCTGATGTTACAAATTTGTGCTCCCTGTGTTCAGTTTCAACTTATCTAATCGAACAAGGCTCGGTTTACTCAGCTGTCGATGCATATGGTTTTTGGCTTCAGGATGGCACCACATTTGAACCCTGCAGCAAATAAAACTGCATAGACTTAATAAAATGTTTACTGTTTACTTCTATTCAAATGTTAAACTATATTAATAGTAAAAGCACTGACGACACAGTGAGAATAAAGTGGCAGACGGCTTTTCCCTTCTCTTGCCCTTTGTTGTGGTCAGATTTTCTTCTGAGGTTTAGACCATAAACAGGAAAAAAGGACAGCAATCCTTTCAGTATAAAAGCTAGTAAATGTTTCCACATTAAACAAATGGCCGATTAAATCAAAGCAACTTACAAAAAAGTGTTTTATGTACATTTTTATGTTGGTTTTTAATTTTTTAAAACATTGTGCTTGAGTTTACGTGTATGTGCTATGAGTTTGTGTATGCATTGTATTAACACCCTGCTCATTATCTCACCTTCAACAGGACTACCCCACTAGTAACTAAACTAAAAACAGCCTGATTTTCCTTGGAGGAATCATGGTTGGCAGTAAAGTCTTGTAAAATCAGAGCCAACTTCAATATTGCTTTTTTTTTAATAATAAATGTTTAATGTTATGGAGACCAAATTTCAAGGGGCCTTAAATCCAGCAATGGAGACTAAACTTCACATGTGGGTGAGTCTTAAGTTGTGGGTGAGATGGGGACAAAGTGTGGAATGTTGAAATCCTTGGCCAGTAAGACAAACTAATCTCATATCCTTTCTTCTAGTTGGAGTAAAATTCTTGATGCAAACCCACAACACTGGGCAAGAGCAGGTCAAATATTTTTACGCCTACATGGTTTGATATGGCAGCAATATAATGGCATAATTTTCCCATCAAGACAAAATAGTCCTTTTCCTGCAGTCCTGCATGATTGAAGCTTAAGACTGTGAATCACAGAAAGAAATGCAAAGTGTGTGGTGCTCCGTAAAGGAAGATTTTACAATGCCTGTCTCGGCTACAGGCTTAAACAATGAGGTTTTCACTGAGAAGCTGTTATCGACTTTTAAGGTTTGAGGCTGACTTCAGCTGTGGCATCAATCACACCTGCAGAGTAGATTCTACTCAGGAGCTCTTGCCTTACTCCAGTGCCTGAAAAAAGCATGACTGATTGTGCTGGCAACGTCGCTACAGAACTGACATTCTCCTCAAGCAAAGATGGTTTGTGAAGGAATATGAAGACAACAGCACCCCAGTCCGAGTCACTCATATGAGGACGACTGATGGGAACACGATGAGGTGACAATCTGGCTTCGGTGATGGTGAGACAGATTGAGGTTAGTCAATGGAAAATGCCACTCAACCTATTTTCATCAAAAAACACCATCAAAACAGACTGACCGAGTGAGACAGGACCATCAATAGCACCATACTGAGACTACAACATCAGTTTGCCATTATTTGGCTAAATATCACAGTGTTACCATCACAAGTCCAGTAATGATTAACTAACACTTCATTTGAGCTAAAATAACACGTTAGCTTTTTGCTTCTCATGCAGATCTATTGTATGTTTTTCTCTGCCTACTACCTTTAAAAAACATTGGTTTCAATCTGCGTTCATGACAGATGTATATAAAATATAATATCAATCTTAAACATTAAAGTACAATTACATTAAACCACCATTTGACAAGAGTATAAATTACTTGGAAAATCTTTACACTCAGCTTTACTTGACATGTACAGTCATGAGGGTCTCAGAGCAGAACACCACAGAGATAAATGCATTGGAAATGTAATCAATTCACAATCATATTGGATGGTCATTTGGTAACACAATGATCAATATTGCATGATGTATAGGATACTTCAAGAGGAGGCAAGTTGTATTAGGCTTTGGACTTCTAAGGAAACCAGAATGCTTCAGGTCTCCTCTGCGTCCTCACCACAAAGATCAACCACTGAGTTACAGCATTGTTCTGTCCATAACAGACATTATTTAGCCTGCCATGTCCTTCTGATTAAACCTTTTTTATCTGTGTTTAGTTAATGCAAGACAAGAGAGAGAACTGGACAGATGTCTTAACACCATAAACTACACACCATAAGCTACAGACTGTCACACACATGCCCAGTCCATCCGGGATGCCTTCTTTGTCAGAACCTGAGTGTGCTGAAACAAGTATGAATGAGCTGCAACTACTGATTATTTTCATAATCAATCAATCTGTCAACTATTTTCTCACTTAATCGATTAATTGTTTGGTCTATAAAATATTAGAAAACAGTGATAAATCACCTCACAGTGACAATTTCTTAAAGCCCAACCTCAGTTGTTTTGTCTGAACCGCAGTCCAAACCACAAAATATTCATTTACTATCATGTGTGATAAAGGAAAGCAGCAAAGTTTCACAATTTAGAAACTTGAACTGGTTAATTTTTGGCATTTTTGCTTGTAAAAACTTCACCATGTTTGAGGATTAATTTTCTTAATTAATGGAATAATTGCTTTAACTCTAGAATGAGTATCAATAAACTGCACATCAAAAATACAGAACTAAAGAGGCCTACTAATCCAGTAACACAAATGTTTACATTACTAGATCTTATTGAAGCACAGCAATCCAGGATCTATATGCTTAAAACAGCAACTCTTTCACTGACAATAAGAAAAAAGAATCACCTTGTGAAGCTCCCTGATTTCATATTATGTTTACACAGAGAAATGTAGCCTAATGTTAAACGAATAGTTTGGGATTTTTCAAGTTGGTGTTAAGACAGTAGTGAGGTATCTCTGTGCATGTGAGAATAGGTCTTATTTGTTGTCACCTCTCCTAATCTTCACACTGACCCTGAATATTTCCTCCTGGAACGTCACTACGCCGCATAAAACGAGGGACAGTAGTCGCCTGCAAGTTTTAGCTGGTGTTTACTACTGGAGTTGTGCTCAGAGAGCTGAGGGTAATAATGTAGAACTTATATGCTCCTACTATAACGTATCCCTCTGCTGCAGGATAGCAAGGTACTGTCCAGGGAAATAAAAAGAGGGAAATTTGTTTTAAATAGACTGCAACTTTGAAATATTCAGACTCAGATTAGTTTAGTGGAACAGCTGAAGCTGCCATTTGAGAATGAGAGTTGTGTGGTTTGCCCCTCGTTTTTTGCAGCATAGAGGTGATCTGGGTGGAAACATTCAGGTTCAGTGTGGAGAAGTAACAACTTCTCGCATACATAGGGATACATCAATAATATTTTAACACTAACTTGATAAACCCTGATCTATTCCTTTAATGTGTAATCCTCACATCCTTGATTCCATCACCCTTAGGGACATTGACAAGGCAGCTTTCTCCCTTTTCATTTCTATCAGAGTGAAAAATAGGATAAATGACAGAATTAAACCCTTGTTCTGTCAATGCATTATCTTATTTACTTGAATGAAAAACAAAGAGGGCATCTCTCACAGCAAATTTGTCTGATCTGGGCACAAAGAAGAATTTAAGGAGGAAAATCCTGTCCAGAAGAGTGGGCTGTTGATGATTTACATACCCTATAACAAGAGGACCAGAGAGTCCCTGAGCACAAGCTCCCTGTCCAAAGGTTAAGATCCACATATGAGGAAAGGTGGAGACAGACAGACAAAAGCAGAGCTAGGTGATAAAGCACTTCCCAAGGCTGATGGATATATATGACAATGGCCCCTTTTTCAAAGAAGGAATCCTGTGGTCCCTTCTGCTGATGGAGCACCCGTCAGTCAGTGAGAACAGCTTTGAGGCCTTCACTAAATCACACAAGTTCTCATATTATATAGCAATGAGACAGCCTGACCTATCAACATCTAATCACAGAAACATGATCGTCACTGCACCACATTCCCAGGGAATCAGGTTAAACAGGATGGCACTAAAACCTGCCACATCCATAGGTGAGATGTGGGCAATTTCCTACAGCAGGAGATTAACCCTAAATTGTACCGAGGGACAGAGGAAGGAAGGAGGTAAGGAGGAAAATCAAACAACTTATTTCCCCAGAGAAATGACTCAACTGAACCTGAAGATGTAGCAGCCCTGGAGAGAAAATATCACATTGGTAATTAATAAATATACAAGCAGGAGACGTTGACTGTAGGCTGTCAAATGTTCGTCTTTTTTGACAAGTACCATTATTATTGTTCCAACACTTGAAACATGATATTAACACCAAAGTGTACAATTAAATACATGAAATTGATGCAAGAAAAAAACTCTGCAGACAAGGAAACATAAACAAATCATTTTAAAAGGCATAAAATTACAGTACCTAAGATGATCTCTAAAATGGAAACTGCAGGGTTGCATAACACATCAGTCCTGTTATCCGCTAGCCCCACCGCTAGTCTTGTCATCACACTACTTAAGTAGCCTAAATTAGATTGTTTCATTGTGTGAAACCAGATACATGCTATAAATTCGCTGAATAAATGTCATTCTGACCTCTTGCTGTTGGCTTCAGCAAACTAGACAATTATTTTTATCTTTGCTAATCCAAATTGTAGAAATGTAGCAGGTGTGCTGAACACTGTGAGGAAGCATTTTGGATTCACCACCTTAAATGTACAAAAAACAAACAAACTTAAAGGTAACTTTGCCAAATGCAGCTGTGTTACTGTGAGCATAGCTTGACACTTAAGTGATGGGGCAGAGGCATGAATGGAATAAGGTTAACTCTAAGCTTTTAGTTCAAATTCATTTGAGGTTGTTTCTTCTAAGACGTGACAGCCATTTTGTCAGCACTTCTCTTTTCACTGAGTGGGAGATATTTTTTTTGAGTAAGAATTAAAACCAGTAGGCTGATGTCTACGTTTTCTCCCGTTCAGCTGCTCATCACAGTATAGTTAAGGAGCCAGAGAAGCCAATCAATAAACCAGTCATGTGAAATTATGTTTGTGTTGGGAGCTGTAGGTGTCAAGCCTCTTTACGTTTCTCATTTAGAAAGTTTCCACAGAGCATATAAGGTCAAAGTCACCAGTGAGAAGAAAAAGTCAAATGCTTCTGACATGAAAAAAGTTACATATTCACATCCACTAGAAACTAAAAATGAAGACGGCCTATTTTAGTAACTCGTGCATGAGATAAAGGTCCTGTAAGGTTCTCCCTCCATTTGTGTGTTTGTGTCCCTTTCTGTCCAGCATGTTTCAACAGCTGCAGTATTTATACTGTTCATTTAGGTGTTTATTACTCTACTCCACTGTACGTATTCTGTATATTTCCTTCATTAAGACCTGAGAGAAAGGCCAAAAACAGGGTTGAGGTAGGTAACCATAATGCATCACTGTAAGTCCTGTACAGAAGGTGACAGCATCGAACAGAGGGCTGCAGAAAGAAGCCCTGTGTTTGCGTTGTCACACAACTCTGGTTCACTGTGGTCATCAGCACCTATTGTTATTGTAACCACGGTGTTCCTGAAGCACTCCGACTAGTCACTGTTGACAGGAGGGAGAAGGCTGAGCAGCAGTTGTGGTTTTAATGATAGACAAACATGATCTGCAGTTGTTACGTCTTCTGGGCATCGGGCACAAGTGTAAAAGATTACAACTTTGTGTACTTTATGAAAGCAGGAAAACACAGTCACTAAGAACACTGCAGCAACAAATATTTAGAAAAACCTTAGAGATACACTGCTGCCACCTAACCCTCACTATTTAACAAATTACATCTCATGGGTTTAGTCTGTATTCAAACAGCAATGTAATTATGACAATTTGTGATTTTAGAAGTAATGTGCTGTACATGCTAAGCTAAGCTAATTGTGTACTGATTAAAGCTTTATAGGTAAAGACACACAAGAGTGGCGTTATCTGTCTGTTAGCAAGAGAGCCAATAATATAATAATGAAAATAATATTATTTCTCAAACTAGTCGTTTTAGTCATTACACCAACAGCAGTAGAATGTTTTGGTACGTTTTGATCAAATTTGTGCTTGTTTACAAACATCATCATTTGTAGAAAAACTGAATCAATAAAGCATATCTGCACACACTCGCACACAAATACATAAACATACAGAATTCAATCATGATGCTAATTTTAAACTCAGACAGTATATAAAGTCTGTATATTATTTTGCCTTTTGTCCAAATGAACATTATACGTCACACCTCACTCAGCAGCAGATAGCCCTCAAAATATCATTAGCAACGCAGTGTATCTCTAATGGTCTTTCATGCAAGAGAAGCAACTATGTCTGGTAAACAAAAAAAAAAAAGAGTACGATCTTTTAAATGGAACAAAATATTTAAAAAAAAGCTGACAATGGAACAGCATAATTCATACATAGTTCTAACATGCTGAAATTCATTCAACAGTGTTATCTGTCTGTCAGCCTGCATGAGGTACTGCCATTGTATCTACAAACACCATATTCATCAGCAGAGGGAGGGAAACCGGGATTTCACAGAGGGGGGAGAGATGGATTTTCATTATGCAATAAACAGACAAGCAACAACAACAGCAACATTAACATTGTTATCTTGAGGTAGAACATTAACTTCAGCATTTGGAAGTGCTTTATGTTGGATACTCATTTTTCTTGTTTTGCTCCAACGAGCGAGAGAAGAGAGACGATCCTTGACATCTGAGGTAGTGCGGCACCTGATCTTGTAATTTTCAAACCAATCAGTTCCTCCACGTGTAAAGTAATTGTGAGCAGAGGGGAAGGTAAAATCCCTAAAACGCTTCCCGCAACACATTCATTCCGGCTGAGGTAGGTTTCTGTTGAACTGTAAGGTTCACACATCCAAGTCTAGATCCTGTATGAAGGCCGAAAACTCATAAAAAATGGTGATGTTACTGAAATAAAGTCCTGAGAGAGAATATATTGAATCCCTGGAAGAAGGCTGATGTCTTCTGTGAGCAGGAAAATGGAATGATTGGTAGGCGAGAGCAGGCAGCAGGAGTCAACATCCACAGAAAGGTAGAGGTAAGACCAATAACTTATATCCACTTTGACATATAGCTAATCAAGATATATGTACGTATATTTATATA